TGTTTTTGAGATATGTCAGCAAAGTAAACTGCAAATGCTTAAATTATATGTCATGTAACAAGGTTTTTTTTTCTTTTTTTGGAGTTACCCAACCCTAATTACCTCTTTGAGACGAGTTGGCTCCCTCCGGTATCCCCACGAGCTTCGACTCTTTGAGTCGGCTATGGGACTAATCCGGAGTGCGGGGGATCAGTGATGGCTAAAGGTTCAGTCCCCTCTCCAAGAATGCATTCAGCAGGAATCGAACACATGTCCAACCCCATTAACTCAGCGCCAAGTTACCAACTGAGCTGCACCCATTGGGTTTGTAACAAGGTTTTCTTTTTTCCTTTTTATTTTTATTTAAGAAAAAAATGTTGATACCTACCTACCATTTGAGCTAAGGAGGCTCAACGTTAAATGGTAGACAATTCTTAATGTCATATATTATGAGATAAGGACCACGTAAGATGCAATTCTTCTCCACTTAGCTGAGAGAATGGTCTTAATAAGACCCAATTTTAATATATCAAAAATAATAAAAATATTGCACACTTCCTATATTATTACCGAGAATGGTTCCTTGAGTGATGCATCGATTTCACTCTTTGGAACGTGGAAGGGCCCAAGACCAATCCTACCATAAGTGCTGTATTGAACCTGAACAAGTTATGTTTTCTGCTCTGGGCTTACTGGCTATGTAATAGAGTTCTAAGCCTCTTGCTCTTGATCCAACTCACTGAAGCTTATGCAATATTGCATGGCTTGTAGGCTTGTAAAAAAGAATCTCCAAAGTGAATTTGTCTTTAAATTATACCAAAAAAAAAAAACAGTATATTTATCTTTAAATTTTTCCATATTTACATCATGAATATATTTCAAATTAAATCAAATGTAGAGATACGTACTTGTTTGCTTGCTTTAGAAACAAGCTTTTATCCTAAGCTTTAATCTATTATTGAGCCAATATTGTGCTTTTATCCTAAGCTTTAATCTATTATTTGGTTGAAATTTTTTGACGAAAAAAAAAAATGATATTCCGTAGAAAACTATTGTCTCAATTTTCGACGGAACAAGAATTAATACCAAATTTTGTATTGCACCTGGTAAACAAATATAATAAAAGCAAATAACATATTAAAATCATATCATCTTAATACAATTAAATGTACAAAAGTTTCTGTCATATACTAATCAAAAGAGTCTTATATATACAAAAGTCTGTGGAACCAATGCACTCTATGTAAAGAATATAAAGGTATAACGATTTTGATGATAACAAACAAGCAGGGAAAGAAAGCTTTAAGTGCAACAATAAAAAAGAAGCTTAGAGAATCAATCAACATCTATCAAGTCCATCAAGTCAATGAACAAAGTTTAAAGAAGATCAATACTCAAGCTTCAAGAGAAGACTCTAAGTCCAAGCAACCTCAAAGTAACATATCTTAGGACTTAGAATTATTTGAAAGGGAAATTGACTTCTTGTGTAAACAAATCTCAAAGCATTTTTCAAATACATGCATTAAATCGTTGTTTGACATTTAAATTCATTCATAGCATGAAAATCTAATTTTAAATGTTTATCAAATGATTAAAGTATTTGAAACTGATTTAGATCATGAGAAAACCATTTTGGGACGGAATCCAACCTTTTAACAGGTTGGTAATCGATTACCCCAGCAATGGTAATCGATTACTGTTCATGGTAATCGATTACCCACCTCATGGTAATCGATTACTCACTGTGCAGAAGACAAAAATAATGGCCATAAAACGGTTAGTTTGTGAAAATGGTTGAATAAACACCCATGGGGGGACTCTAAATAAGAATCACTATTCCATTGATTAAATACTTTTTTTTATCATTATTCTTCATTTAAATCATATTACTTGCTTATTCTCATCCATCTTGATCATAAATATTCTTTGAGCTTTATTCTTGTGAAACACCTCTATTTGATTTCTTGAATACTTAGGGAAGTGAACCCTTTACACTCGAGAGATCACCAAATTCCTAAGAAAATTTGGAGTGAAAAATTGTAAGGCATCAAGAGTCCGAACTCTTGAAAGATTGTAGTGGTTTGTCAAGTACCCTCAAGCTTGATAGCTAGTGAAAAAGTTTGATCGAGCGACTTCAGTCTGGACGTAGGTCACGGTGGTGGTGACCGAACCAGGATACATCTAGTTTGCAATTTCTCTAACCTTAAACTCCTTACTTTAGTCTTGAAATTACATTTTTAGACTGTGTTTATTTATTCGCTTGCTTACTTTATTGATCACACACTTGCTCCTACACTTAGATTTTTTCTTTTTAAACCATTTTCTTGAATCACTCTTTAAAATATCATAGGAGGCACTTTGCGAAAAGATTTTATAAAACTCAATTCACCCTCCTCTTGATATTAAAGCCACTTGTCCAACAAAGTCTATGTCATATACTAATCAAAAGTGTCTTATATGTACAATAGTCCATGTCATATACATCCAAACAATATTAACAAAATTTATGCAGCTGGATGATCTTCATGATCATGGTCATCACCTAGGTCCTGAGACGGGGACTGAGTCTCATCATCATCCTCATTATATACTAATTCCATAGGAAGCCTTCGTATAAGCCTCTCCATTTGTTCTATTCGCCTCTGCATTATAGACATGAGACTATCCTATTGTGCATCCCTTTGCTCTTGCTGTGCAACTGCAGCCTGCAACTGCATAATCAATGTGCGCATCCTGTTATGCTCTTGCTGAGACACCCCAAGCGGTAGCCTGCTAAAGAACCGAGATTGCTTATATGCTCTTGCCCGTATACCTAAATCGTATACTTTTCCTTTACGATTAACCCCACTAGCCGCCTGCAAGATTAATTCATTATCTGTGGCGGCACTGCTAGTATCCTCTCTTGGAGTGATCTGATTGTCTCTCTATTCCCTCATTCTCGTAAAGCCATCCTAAAATTTACGTAGAAGGTATGTGATGTGTTAAAGTCAAGTGCATTAAAACTAATCAGCTTTCAAAATTTATTAATAATGTAAAAATCAATAATACTCACAGATATTGCCTTGGCTTTGTCATTGCACCACCTATCAGTATCACGGTCATCTTTAGATATGTGTGTTTGCTTGAACATAACCCAATCCAAAACGGATGAGTCTCTGACCCCATTTACCTGCTGCGTGATATGAAACATAAAATAATAGATTATAATACACTTAGTATAAAAAGGCTTATCATTTTAATTACAAACAAGCATATGCAAGTATAGGATGTATGCATAGACGTTTACAAACTATATTGTTATCAATCCAAAGCAAAGTTAATTGTACACTGTATTACAATTGTTAGTTATACGTTGATGAAAATCAACTTACAAAATATTGTTACACTATTGACCAACTATATATGATTGAACGGTCTCCCCTTTAGCATATATTCTAAGTACGTAAATATATATTAGAAATTACGGATTACAGTTGAATATAATAATACCTTGCTTTGGTATTAAAGGAACTTTAGGGACTACTGTGACCATGGCTTACTATATGAAGTTAACTATATATGTTAGGAATTATTTATTAACCGAGATTAAGCTATAATGTACCATTATATAATATATAGTATAAAAAGTTGATCACTCCAACAAGAACAGGTTATATTCGAAAGTATCATTTACACATGCCCAAATTAGTTTATGAGCTTTCACACGAAACCCTGATATATCCAATATTACAATCCTATATTAATATAAAACACCGAAATTCCCAAAACTACCTCATTCCCAGGATATATTAGTATGGGCCTACAAACATAATTTGCAGGGTTATTAGAGATGGAATATTATAATTACTCATGGATAAACTTAGGTGATATACAATGCATCATAATTATGTTCGTAAAAATGCGTTATGTTACCCAATAGCGTATTTACCCTTCTATGCTTGAAACATAGGTAACTTTGAGAATTTCCCCTTCTCCACACTTATATACTAAGTACTAAATAGTATATACGAATCATTTGGTAATAGGTGCACAAATATATAAACTTTATGAATAAGTCCAACAGGATATTGGTATGTACTTTTGCCGGAAATTCTATTAGATAATTTACCATCCTTAGGATACATTTCTAATAAATCATACGGGTACTATCCATATGCATTAATTTTCATTTACATTACATCAGCTATCAATTAGGCAGTGGAGATAAATGACTATTATATAATCCAAGAGCTAATATTGTAATATGAATCATACATTTACAAGTTTGATACTACGATAAAGTATCAAAGTATGAATTTCCTTTGATGCATACACTACAAAAAACATTTTAAAAATGTGGCAAAATTGAACAAAAAATGTGGCTAAATCAAACTACCACACTTTTGACAAACGTGGCTAATCCTGGCGTGGCATTTATTTAGCCACATTTTCCTTCTCACTTTGCTACTGCTGTCATGAGTGTGGTAACATTATTTTAGCCACGAATTTTTTGACATTAGCCACATTACAAATGTGGCTAATTTATAGGAAGAGAATAAAAAAATGTCAATTTACAATAGGAGCATTTACACAGCTTCCTGCATAACACCAATAACTTCAATCATGCATTCATTGGTTAATCAATAAAATATCAGACAATGTTACCAAAAAAATAATAAAATAAAATAAAATATCAGGACGTTACCAAAAAATAAAATAAAATAAAATATCAAACTTCAAATTGCCACTCCTATAGACCACACTCTACAGTTGGTTGTGGTCCCTTGGAACTATAACCAGCATTACCACCACCTATAGTGATTTTCCCACTTATAACCTTAACTAACTCAACATACAGAGCCTAAAACTGATTATAGAAAGATAATCAACTAAGCAAAGCTATCATATTCAAATTAATAATTAAGTTGAGTAGGGAGCTAGGACATAAGC